ATGATAGTCAAAATGACTATACTACTAATTGTATTAATTCTTGGAAAAGAACAATTAATACTCATGATTAGGTCAATTTTACATGTCTATATCTGGTAATCTAAGCATCCCTTTTGAAGGTAACAATATGCAATATTACAATCATTGTTCAATTTCTAGCCTCTTGCTTTGAAAACCTATACTGTTACTGTTTTGGGTTTGCTGTTGTTGTTTGTTTGTATCTTTTGCTTTTTGTTTTTCTTTCCTGTGTCTTTTTTTCTCTTAAATAAATTTTTTAAAAATCCAGTTCAGAATAGTCCCAAAGCACAGTTAATTCCAGCAAGAAGTCCTCAGATGGGAAATACAGGAAACCCATATTTTTTTTTTAACTCAAGGACCACCGGATAATACTAGACATGGCACAGCAGCCAGGCTAATCAAAAGTTCTAGCTGATGATACTCCCCTCCCCATATTAAATCCTGCACGATGGGGAAATAACATAATGTTGGATGTAAATACAATACATTCAGGTAGAGGGGAGCCTGCTGGGTTAGAACAACTGTTTTACTGAAGATTTGTGGGTAAAGGGCAACTTTAAACCTCCTCTTCTTTTTTCCCAAACTATCAGTCATCCAAGAATAGTGACCCAGGTGTTGTAATTTCAGCACTTGGTAGGCTGAGGCAGGAGGACAGCAAGCTCAAGGCTAAGCTTGAGACTGTTGAACTATTAATATTTTTCTTAAACTCTGGGGTGATGTTAACAGAAACGCATTTTTGTTATTATTCAGCTGAACTTACGGGATACCCTTGCTGCTTTTAGGAATACTTATTGTAATTAAAAAATTTTTTTTCAAACTTAATGAAACAATTAGTTCTGAAACTAATTTAACAATCTTAGAGTGTTTGCTATCTGAAAAGAATTAACTTTAGTTGTACCATCCGGAACAGAGCTATTTTTCAAGGATTAGTTCTGGAAGCTCAAGGAGGTAGTGCTGGCATTCATTCAGCTGTGATGAGGGGCCCTGGGGCTGTGTCACATGGCAAACTAGACTGTGGTGGAAACATGTAAAAGAGGGAGAGCCCCTACGGTGACACAGCAAACCCAAGAACCTGAGTCATTATGCTTTCACAGATGAAAAAAAGGACTAAGCTAGCCAGGTGCATATAGGATCATTTCTTAATCCCCTTATCTATTTCCCCTTCCACAGAGAATATTTGAAGATTTCTGTTGACAAACAGGCATAAAAATTGGCATGTATGACCTGTGAAAAATACATGTGAAAAAACCCTCTGTTTTGCTTCAATTGATAATCAGATGAAACATATTAAGACTTTTTCCGGCTGATGAAGTTGAGAATTTGGAAGAAAAATAGATGAAATTTTGTAAATTTCCATGGTCAGAATGGTGCTAAAAATAATAGGTATAAAAAGTCAGAAGAAAGTAGGCTTGGGAATGTAGGTGAGTGGTAGAGCACTAGTATGCTCAAGGACTGGGTTCATTCTCTAGTAACACACACACACACATGCACACACACACATGCACACACAGAAAATATATAGTTAACATGGTGTTAAAAGTTTTTCTCCTTTTGACATGGCTATAGATGATTTATTTTCTTCTTCCTACTAAATTTAGATATACTCTCAATTTTCATAGTAACATATAAAAATTTTATTATATTTTGTAGAAACATGACTTTAAACCAACAATAGTACAAACTCAACACCTCAGCTACAGATTATCTTCCACAATTGGGTTCCAATTTACCATTTCACTTTATGGTTCACATTTGATTATTGTTTTGCACTTCAGTAAAAGTAACTGTCATTTTCCATACAGACTTATTTCCCCCCAGTTGTAGGAGCCAAGCCCAGGGCCTTGCACATGCTGGGCAAGCACTGCACCCCTGAGCTCCATCCCCAGCCCTAGATCTAACTTTCTTACTCTGCACAGTTGTACATTCTATTGCTATATTTTCCTCCATCTCCAAATCATTTCAAATCCCCTTAATCATTGCTTCATCTATATATTTTTTTCCTAAAGTAAACACAGATAAAACAGGGGGAGGAAGGAGAAGAGAATGTAAAAAGAATTAAGATGTGTGTGTATAAACAATAATTCCTCATAAGGAATGTAATTTTTATGTTCTCTAAATATATATTAATAAAAAGAAACATTTGCTTTTTACTGCCTTTATTTTTATTGAGTTAATATCAGTTATCTCTTCTTTGAATTAAAACCTTGCCATCATGTCACTTTTTCTAATTTTTCAGCTAATTTTGTTACTTTTTAATTGATTTCTTTTTAGATTTTACCTCCAAATCTTCACACTTTATCTGGATATGCCAAGGACTTTATTTAGACACTTTATAAATTACATACAACTAAATTATCATGTTAGAAAGTTGTTGCAAGAGTCATATACCAGTAGATCTGATTAGTCACAGAAAAGCATGATAAACAGGACGACAAATGTGAAGACGCAGTAAATAGAGTGCTACTTATAATTGCAGTTTTTAAATACAAATTTCCACCAGTTTGAACTTAACTACAGACTTCTGACATTGTCTGACCAATAAGTATGGTTAGCCATGAGATAAATGGCTATTCATTACTGTGTTGAAAAATGTTCACTTTCCTGGTGCTCACATTTTCTCTCTCTGTTTGATATATTAACTAACATATCCTTGCTTTTCATCTCCCCTTCCTCCATTCTTTTTTTACTCAATTGTTCTTTAGTTTAAGTAACTTTTTCTATTTATAAATTGCTGGAATAAATTTAAGAACCTCTCTCATTGTTAGAAGCTCTCTAGTTCTATAATTTTAGTTTAGGTATTTGGAAGACATATGAATGAGAATTTTTAGTATGTTTTCAATTTATTGTTTTTTTAGAAAATCTTGTGATAGTTTGAGTTTTTTCTATGCAGACACAAGTATCAAAAATTCATTTAGAAGAGCAATTTGATAAATATGACCTGTAAGATGTGGGAATTTAGCATTGCATGATTTGTAATTTTTTGACTTTTAATCTATTTCTTTGATTTTTCTGTGAGTCTTTCATTCATAATTAATATGTTAGTAATTCTCTAAGCAGGTTTTGAGTATCTACTATATCCCAGGTGCCATGTTGAGTAGTAGCAATGCAAAATCAATTAAGATGTTTGTACCCTTAAGAGACTTACAATAAGATAGGGGACATAAACCACTACATTACAGCTCAGTGTGAAAAATGTAAATGGAAGCAGGTACAAGGATCACTGAGAAGTCAGTAGTGACTCTCCTTGGGGCTCAGGAAGTTCTCTCAGGGAACTCTGGAGCTTTTTAAAAATGTCACATTCTACATTAGCAAAACTTTATATTTAGTTCAGGCATTTTATTGTACATTTTAGTAATCACATTTGAACAATTAGGACAATAATCCTTCCAAATCTTAACCAAGTTTTATTAGTTATGATGGCAGAAAAAATGTAAAGGAAGACACTTAATCTAGAAGAAATTAACAATTGTGGCTACCATAGGCTTTCTGTTTTAATTTTTTACAGTGTTTTCTGCTGGGTCCCATTGTCCTTCTTGGCATTCATGCCTAGCACAGACTCTGCAGTCACCCCTGACCCCAGTCCTCACATCAGCATGGACTGTTATCTTTTCCTTAATCAAGAAAAAATAGTGGTTCTCCCAAAGGAATAGAGGATCAAAGAACACCAATTTTGAATTGTCTTTGGACAAATTTAGTCCAAAAACTGGATGTTTGAATCAGATGTATGACCGCCTGTGAAGTGATCATAACACAACCATTTGGGTATGTCCAGTTTTAGAGATTTTACTACCAATGAGATTTTACTATATATTCTATACATATTGGGTGAAATTTCTCTAACTGCTTATTTATGACCATACACAGCTAAAAAGCAAAAGAAATGTAAATGATAGAAAAATCTTACACTTATTAATAATTACTTATTGTACAACACTTTTAACATCTTACCTAGTTTTTATTGCCAGTGTGTTTCTCCCTTTAGCATGCACATAAACCAGCAAAGGAAAAACAAACCACAGCTAGTGATGAGGGAAGTGTGGAGTAGGTAGGTAGGAGGAGTAGGGGATGAGGCCTGTAAAAAGTCAGTAAAGTCCTTCCTCTCAACATGCTTAAAATCTTCCCTATTAGCATTTGTTATGCACTAGTAATGTGGACAATACAAAAAAGAAGGAAAGGAAAAGGGAAGAGAAGGACAGAGGAGGAAACAGAGGAAGGAATAAAGGAGGGAAAGGGAGATGAAGGGAAGGGAAGGGAAGGGAAGGGAAGAAAAAAAAAGTATAAGGAGAGAACGTAGGATGCTCCCTACACCCTCCATTTTCAAACCATCTACTCATTTGAATCTGGATATGAGAGAGAAGGAGATTGAAAAAGGAAAGAAAGAAGTGTAAAAGATAAAGACAGGAGACTAGCGGTCCAATAGGCAACATAATTCAGTTCTACCTTTATGGAGTAGCTATTGTGGGTTGCATCAGTCATTAATCAATTTGGTACAGAATTAAAACCAATTCCAAAATTTCTTTTTCACAGATTCTCTTTGTTCTTTTCTGCCCATGAGCTTCTCTTCCTTATGGATTAGCAAATGCAACCAGGAATCAGTTGCAGGTACTTCAAACTAAAGGCTCAGAAATGAGGAAATTTCCTTCCAGAATGCTATGCACTATATTTTAAAGTGTAATAGTACAGAATGTGACTACAGCTACACATCTGTACGTACAACTTTTCATTTGCTTACATCACATGAATCATTTTAGCATGTGTTCTTAATACAAACCTTTTTATAAAGTAATTTTGACTTTTTAACCAAGTCAACTCACATTTCTTCGCAAATACACAAGCATGAATTTTCTAGCGAGTTACAGCCAATTTTTCTAACATCAAGTGGCCCAGATTTTTCTTTTGCTCCAGGAAGCATTTCCTGGAGCTTAGTCACTGTTGTGCCTTGCGAAGTTTGTAAAGAAGAGTTGTTCATTGTGAAGTGGGACTTTTGGAAATGATCCTGCTGCCAGTGAGAAGAAAGTAATGGTGAGTCAATCTGCGGGTGAGCTGAATAAACGCCACTCTATAAAAGCTGAGCTGCAGAGAGTTGACCTAGACAGCGGTCGGCAGAGAGCAGGCAGTAATCCGTGCAGAGCTGCCAAAGCCAGGGACATGGAGAGGCTTCCCATCCTGCTGTGGCTGTGCGTGGCGGCCTCCTCCGCCCACCCGCTGAATGGAGCTGCCCGGAGAGAGGACAGCGGGATGGAGCTTCTTCAGGTAAGGCATGGAAGCAGAGTCACCCTGGGTGACTCTGGGCCACGTGAGGAAACCAGCTCAGCCTTGCACTGAGGAGTAGAAATAGTTGAGGGACTATTAACAGTTGCAGACTTTTGGAGGTGGAAAGACCTCAGTATCCACCATTAGGCCTGCTTCTTCTTTCTGGGAAGAAACAAAGGGCCAAAATATCAGGTATCTTTAAGTCACTCAGTGCGCGCCATCGGTGCTTGAGCCACGTGAGCGAGGGAAGAACGCATCAGCTATGTCTTACTTTGGAACTTTGTTCAGTCTTTTAATCCAATATAATTTTAGTTCTAAATATTCATAATGCTAACGTCATGCTTACTCAGAGGACTTTATCCAAACCTTTTGTAAAAAGCTACATCCTTGTGAGAAGCATAAATTGGAAAATTGAATAAATTTACCTAAAATACACAAATACATTCAAAAGGATTTATCTGTATATTTTGATTTTGTCCTTTAAGGACACTGGATATTTCATTGAATTTTCTACTTCACTGCTTTGGTGGCAAAATAAGCAACATATATATTTAGCTATAAAGGCAGAGTAAAGGTGAGCAAGAGTCTGTCATTGATCAATTAAATGAAACGTGGTATTTATTATTCCAACTATTCCAAAGCATAGTTGTTCAGGGATTTCAGAATTGAGATGAATGAGTACTTATTCCAGCAAGCTATCCAAATACTTCAAATATATTAAGTGAGCTACTGCAAAGATTTGTTGTAAATACCTTTAACTAAAACTCCTAAGAATGACTTACTACCTGTACTTATTCATTAGTTTCAATAATGCAATAATTAAATGAGTTAATATTAAATGAGTAATAATTAAAACAGATCTTGAAATTGAAGTAACTGGATAAAATATCACAATAATTATTTACAAATTATACATATTATTCCACTAGCAATATCTAGAAAACTACTACGACCTTGGAAAAATTGTGAAACAACTTGTTAGGACTCCGGGAGATAGTCCTGTTGAGAAAAAAATCCAAGAAATGCAGAAATTCCTTGGACTGAAGGTGACAGGAAAGCTGGATTCTGACACTTTGGATATAATACGCAAGCCCAGATGTGGGGTTCCAGATGTTGGTCAGTTCACCCAGTTTCCCGGCATGCCAAAGTGGAGGAAAAATGACCTTACTTACAGGTAATGGGTCCAAAAAGGTTTCCACACAATACTGAAATTTCATCAGCTGCCTCACAGTAAAATTATTGCGTTCTTCATTTTTTTCATAAAGGGTTGTGAATTACACACAGGATTTATCAAGAGATGAAGTTGATTCTGCCATTGAAAAAGCTCTGAAGGTCTGGGCGGAGGTGACCCCACTCACATTCTCCAGAATATATGATGGAGAGGCTGACATAATGATCTCTTTTGCATTTCGAGGTAAAACCCAAATCAGAACAAAACAAAAATATCTGAAATGCATCCATTTGTCTGGTGCTGTTTTATTAGAAAAGTGAAGAGAGCCTAATAACCTTATCATCCAGTTTAAATTTCTTTTTCTTCCTAGAACATGGAGACTATATCCCTTTTGACGGACCTGGAAATGTTTTGGGTCATGCCTATGCGCCTGGGCCTGGGATTAATGGAGACGCTCACTTTGATGATGATGAGCTGTGGACAAAGGATACAACAGGTTAAGGATGGTGTATCTCTCAGAATAAGCGCTATTTCTTTTTATATTTAGAAAACTCTTAATAACAAAGAATGATCAAGCAATGGTACCTTCTAGATTTTTCAGTGGATCAGGAATAAGCAGAATATATATATATATATTTTTTTTTTTTTAATCATTACTAGATACATTCTCAGATGCTCAAAAGCTAACGTTCTATCTTAGTAAGCACAATATAGGAAACATAAGTCATTTACTTAGTGATCATGTATCTTGTGTGATCTAAGGAATGCAATTATTAAAAGCATTTTCCCATTATACTGAATACCAGATATCCACAAAATAGTATATTGTATTGAATTAAACTAAAATGTACCTTGGATATTGCTTATGTAATTTACCTCATCTATTTTATTTTTTAAAAAAGAAATGAGATTTGAGTTTCAGAAACTGAAAATCTGCTTTCCCTCCCTCCTCTAGCTAAGTCAACCTTTTTCTACCTCTAAGTTAAGAATAACTTTTAAAGACTTGGTAACAAAGAAATTAACCCCCAAATACAATGCCCACACTGTTTAAGTTGAAGAATATTTCTCAGTTTATAATCTTGGGAATTGGCTTCCAAAGTTTAAAAAAAATGGCTAAAACAAATAATACTATTCCTGAAATTTAATTAGGATTTATGATAAAAATTTAAACAGATCAAGTATGAGTTTTGTACTGAGTAAAATCCTTGGCTTGATTAACATCTTTCAAAGGAAACTTTCCACAATCACAAATGATAACATAGTCACAAGTCACATAAATAAGACTTATAAGAATAAGATAGATTACTTGTTAAGTCAATCATAATTACTCAAAACCTTCAATTTCAGCATTATAGAATTTTAAAATATGTAATATGAAGGAAAAAAAATCTGAATACAGCCAGAATTTGTGTGTCCAAAATCTATTTTATTACAAATGTGGGACATTTTAAAGCAGTTTTGCAAATCCTATGACATATATCATTATTCACAATTTTGGACTTAGAGCATATGGAATGATGCTGAGGTTAAAATTATGCAGGCAAAATTCCAAGAGAAAATAACAGAAGCATAGTTGTTCAGGGATTTCAGAATTGAGATGAATACACTGATTTGTTTAACAGAGAGGGCAGGGAGAATGGCAAATATCAATACATTGAAACACTTTTAGCTTTTAGTTAATAAATGAAGAGAGAATTTTTTGTATTCTAGATGGGAGGCTTAATTCCATTTCTAAGCACAAAGAGAGGGACGTGGTTTTCCTGATGTTAAGAGACTGATATTAGAGAGATAGACAAATGGATATGACCAGGTACAAAGACTCATTTCAAGTCTGAGTCTTGAGATATACTTGGCTTTCCTTTAAGTACATAATCATTCAATTGCTTTTGTTAATCAACAATATAGGGGGAAACCCTGTGTGGTTCAAAAAGGTAAATATATACAATAGGCAACTGACTTATGTAATATTCATGATCATTCAGGGATGAGTAACTTAGGATTTCTTAAATAGGGACCAATTTATTCCTGGTTGCTGCTCATGAACTTGGCCACTCCCTGGGTCTCTTCCACTCAGCTGACCCTAAGGCTTTGATGTACCCCCTCTACAACTCCTTCACAGACCTGGCTCGGTTTCGCCTGTCTCAAGATGATGTGAATGGCATTCAATTCCTCTATGGTGAGTGATGCTGGAAAAATTAGACATTGTATCTTGGCAGTGGCGCTACAATTATATTTGCGATATAATTCAAACCCCCTTGAAAAGATTTGGAAACCATATAAATTCACACATGCATCACATTTTTCCTAATGACTTATCTTCCCTAATCTGTTGCCTTTAGGTCCTCCTCCTGCCTCTCCTGCTGACCCTAAGGTGCCCACTGAACCTAGCCATCAGGAGTCTGAGACACCACCAGCCTCATGTGATCCTGCTTTGTCTTTTGATGCAGTCAGTACCCTGAGGGGAGAAATCCTGTTCTTCAAAGGCAGGTCAGGCCGGAAACTTACATTTTCCTGTCTATTCTTATGATGTTCAATGCTTAGAAAAGGAAACAAGGAAAAACTTGGTGGAGATCTTTAAACATTTAAGACGAAAATGTTATCTTTTCTACCTTTTCCTAAAATTGTCAAGTTCAGTTTTGAAGACTCAGGATGATTTGAACCCTTGCTCAGACTGTTGGTCCCAAATGTCCTGAGTACATTTCCAAAAAGTACAAGTAGATTTTTAGCATCAAAAAAATTATTTTACTTCTTTTCAAAGTGACGCCTGGATAAGCTTCACCTTCAGTCAATTAATTTACTTAATACTGGATAAATATACACATAATGAAACACTGACACTGAACAAATGAAAGAAAAATATTTTGATTCTCCAGATCTTATACTCATCCATGAGAAAGATCTTTTGTGCGTTTTTGCATTATTGATCTATGTGTATACAAGAAGAGATGATACACACACGAGAACATACGCACTATTTTTTTGAAAATTGTGCATGGTAGTCTAGACAAACACTGTTTTGCAAGTCCTGCAGGTAGTTACAACTTATAATGGGGCAATAATTGAATGTTAAAATAGCTTTCTTTTCAAGGAAGACATTGCACTGGACACCTGCGACAGGAAGTGCGCTGTGATATTCTGGAGAAAAAGGAAACATACATACATATATCCCAGGGGCCTCTGTCATCTGGCTAGGAGCAGGGCTGGAGAAACATGAGTGAATTAAGAAAGTGAGGAATGTAAAGATGAGAAATCATTTTCAGCTCATACTTCTTTTTATGTATATTTCAGGCATGTTTGGCGCAAGTCTCTCAGGACTGCTGAACCTGAGCTTTATTTGATCTCTGCCTTTTGGCCAGCCCTTCCTTCAGGCCTGGATGCTGCTTATGAAGTGACTAGCAAGGACACTGTCTTTGCTTTTAAAGGTAATTATTATTCTTTTTAAAATTTTATTTTACATTTAGAGTATTTCAGGTGAAGACTTTAAATGGGTTTTTTTTGTTGGTTTGTAGGTTTGTTGGCTTGTTTGCTGTGCTAAGGGTAAAACCTCACACGCACCAGATAGATGCTCCATCACTGAGCTATATCCCCAACTCTAAAAATTTCCTTAACTTGCTTAAACATATCCTCTGACAAACAAAGCAAAACAGTAACTTGAATAGGATTTTAATTTTCTGTATCACCTCAAATTTTGGCTACCAAGTTAGCCAGTGGAGGGGAGGAAGTGACAAGGTTTATTATGATTTTATTTTTATTTTAGAGGTTAATTACTAAACACAGGAAGGGAAATTAACCAATTATAAATTCCTTCACTCTTTCTATATGCACATTTTTTAAAGGCTCAATAGGGAGCTGCTGCTTAAGTCTAAAATTCAGACCCCTTTACCATGAAAATCAAAGATGTGGAACCGTACTTCTAAAACTAAAAGGTTTAACTACTATAATTTTCATATAACTGTGAATACTTTCTAAAACAGGAAATCAGTTCTGGGCCATCAGAGGGTTGGAGATGCAAGCCGGTTTCCCAAAAAGCATCTACACCCTGGGCTTCCCAGCCACAGTGAAGAAACTAGATGCAGCCATTTTTGTCAAGGAAAAGAAGTGGACATACTTCTTCGCAGAGGACCAATACTGGAGGTACAATGACATGGGAGCAACTTCGCTTGGAGCTTGATTACGGAAATAATTTTCTTTCCTTCAGAAAGTCCACATACTCTACTCCACTGCCCTCTTAATAGGAGTTTGGGGTTTAGGAACCGTAGAGAATCGCTTACCTTCAATCACAGACAGCCTTTGTACTTGGCATTTTTAATCGCTCTTGTGTTAAATCCCAAGTGAAGCAGACTTCTGCTCCTTCTGTGCCACTCCCCACCTGCTAGCCTCTTCTTCCTCCCACCTGTTCAAATCCTACCCATTCTTTACTGCCTGTCTCAAGCCTGCCACCTCCATGAAGCCCTCCTGTTTGAATCTCAAGCCCAATGTACCTTTATCTTCCTTTAAATGATTGCCTGGGAGTCAGCTTTCCTTTCTTGTGTCCCAGAGTTTTGCTCATTATCTCATTATGCATTTGTCCTGGCTTCTGACAAAACCATACGTTTTTCAAGGGTTTCTTTTGTCTGTTTAAAGAGCTAACAAACATCAGCAAACATACTCTGCTTTATCACTACTTGGGTCTTGCACCCAGGCTGGTTCCTGGGCCATGCCATGAGACACTGAGATGTCAGAGCAGATCACCAAATATCTAAATAAAGGACCACAAATCTATTTGTTGTCCTTTTCTTCTCGTCCCAATTTTTAACAGGCTGTCACTGAAAACCTTATGTGAGTGGTGGGATGGCCAGCATACATAAGCCAGCTATGGTAGAGATCTAGAGATTCAAATCACTCTATTGCACATTTGTTCACATCTTCATATGCTTCTTATAGAAAGTTAAGGTTTTTTTTTCCTATCCAGCATCAATTGCAATAAAAGGTAGTATCTTCTTAGGGGAGTGTTGCCCCTTTCCCTGGTGGGTGTATGGTTTTAAGAGCCAAGTTAGTAGTACTATTAAAATCACATATATCTGTGGTGATAAGGATGCTTGGTATCTATTTGTAGTACACAAAATGTTTACTAGAATTCTACATGATTTATGAATTTTGGTTAATGGCCTCTCTGCAATCTTGAATCTTGTTTTACTTGGTACAGATTTGATGAGAAGAAACAGGTCATGGAAGCAGGCTTTCCCAGAAAGATAAGTGAAGACTTTCCAGGGGTGGAAAAGGTTGATGCTGCTTTTGAAGCATTTGGTAAGAGGATGCTTAATCTGTTGATAATTAAAATGTTTTACAGTATGTAAAGAAACAGAACACTTTTTAATAATGTGGTGTTAAAAATGGAATTCCTCCTTTCCCCCTTCGAAAATCCAAATTCTCCTACTTCTTGTGCCAATAATATGATTGCTTCACAACAGTTGTTTTGAACACAATGACCATCAAGATAAACCTCTCTATCTTATGTCTGCATCCAGAGTCCAAGCACTCAGGTGCTGTTCCTGTGCTATCGCCCTTCTTGAGCCCTACACTAGTGCGGAAATCCCATGAGATGATGTGGTCAAGATTGATGCTGGCTGGACAGCCTTCTCGTGCATCCAATCCTGTTTTTCCTACTCTTTCCCAAGGAAACTTTCTCCATCTGTTCTGAGTTAGTCAGTGATTGACCACGTGTGTTCGTCATCAATTCTTATCTTCCCATTCATTTAAAGTTTTTTTAAAATATTTTTTTCCTATTCAAGGATAAATAAGTAAAGGTTGATGATCTTTATGGAACAATTACGTGGGCATCAGGTTTGCACAGCAGTAAAGGGGCCTCTGGCAGTTTGAATGAGTCGCTGTGCTTCTCTGGGGTCAGAAATGCCCCCTCATGCTGCACTGTGGTGAAAGAAAAGTATTAGAAATAAAGAGATCATGGTTTTTATACTAGCAAAGAATTTTTTTCTGCTTGGAACTGGAAACCCAGAACCTGACTTTGCTATCAGACAAATGTGACCTGGAGTACACTTTCTATCTGTCCTTGAGTAATCATGGGTGAGCAAATGCTTCGAATTGTTCCTGACAGAGTAAATCTCTATAATGGCTTTCTGTTTCCAGTTCTCTCTGATCCGAAGTTTTGCATGTTGCCACTTTTCTCCTTTGGAAAACATCTCTCACTTTTTCTCTTGCTTGTATTTGCAGGATTTTTCTATTTCTTCAATGAGTCTTCACAGTTGGAGTTTGACCCAAATGCAAAGAAAGTGACACACACTTTGAAGAGTAACAGCTGGTTTAATTGTTAGGAAAGATGTATAGAAGGCACAATATGGGCATTTTAAATGAAGCTATGAACTTTGCACCTAAATCTTCGTGAACTGAAGCAGTTCGTGTTCTCCTGTGTATGCAGCGACAGAACTCAAGTCTGAGCTGTGTATCCCGCCGGGCACCTTCCCCTCATACAGGGCATTCACAGGGCTGCTGCCCACTGCACCTCATCACATGAGTCGGCTTCCACATGGAAGGGGAGGGCTTGGGGCAACAGACCAGTGACTGTATCTATGTGGACTACTTGCTTATTATTTAATAAAGATGATTTATTGATTATTTAATTATAGTATTTCATTTGATTGCAAGAAGAAGTCATCCTCATAGTCTTGGGCTGTAGGTAGTTGGAGATGCTCGTTCAGTGGAGGTGGCAGGGTCAGTGTCTCAGTGGCTGGGGCCTCACGATGGCTTATCCAGAACTGAAGAGCATTGTTCGTTTGCCCTGCACCATGCCCTGCAGACATGCTGGTTTCAGGCATTATTTTGTTCTGCTATACCTGAGGAGCAGGATCTAGGCCATAGATTCCCAATGGTTTTGGTGCTAGGGACTGGTTTCATGGAACACAATCTTTCTACAAGCAGTGGGAGCAACCTAGTTCCCCGGCGTATGCAGTTCATGGCAGCGTTCTCCTGTGAGGATCGATCCTGAGCTGAGCTCGCAGGAGGCAGAGCTGAGGCAGTAATGTCTGCTATGAGGAGAAGCAGTTAAGTACAGATGAAGCTTCGCCCCTCACCCTCTGTTCCCATCTGACTGGGCAGCCTGATTCCTAAAAGGCCACATGTATTAGCCCAGGCTGGGGACACCTGATGTAAGAGGGTGAGGTCCTTGTTGTAGGGCAGGCTCTGGGTATAATCTCAAGTGAACCCAGTTAATTACAGCAAATCACCTTCTTCACATACCTGATTTTGTTGGTGGGGAAAACACATTTGTTCGTTGACATTTCTCTTTCTTATATATTCCCTCAGTGAGCCACCCTTCACTGTCTCAGCAGAGAAACTTTCTCTGGTCACACATGAAAACATCCTCTTGTATCAATTTTGTATTTTTTCTATACCTGGAAGTTAAGTCACAGTTCTTCTGTTTGTTTTCTTGTTTTTGAGTCAGTGTCTCAATCTGTAGTACATATAGGCTGACCTGGAACTCTGTGTGCCTCAGGGTGGGCTCACATAACTTTTCTGCCTCAGCCTCCAGAGTGCTAGGATCACAGTCATGCACCACCACGCCCAGCCGTCAAGTGACAATTTTAAAGGTTTTTCTCTCCTTAAGTGATGCCTCTAACACAGTGTCTAGTCGGGAATGCTCTTGGCCATCAGCTTGTCCATTCATCTGAAGATCACTTAGGAACCATTTTCATCATGCCAGGCAGTGTGCTAACTTGTAGGCACAGGAACGTGAAGAAGACAGGCATGGTCTCTGTTCTCACTGAAGTTATAATGCAGCAGAAAAGAATATATACAGATAACTACAACTGAGAATATGCCATATAAACTTAATAAATGTGATAAAGAAAAAACCAGATTCGTTTTGACAGCATAGTAGGAGGATCCACTCTGAACTGGGGACTTTAGAAGAACTTTTAGGATAATGACATTGACAAGGGTTAAGGGAAGGTGTGGAGATGGCAGCTTGGACTAATGTAGTCATATTGGTAAATCCGAGATAAGAACAGAATACACGTAGATGAGATAGACAATAGGACTCTATGATAGATTGAATATGCAGAGGGAAGGGGAGTGTCCAGAATAATTCCAAAATAAGTAGCCAACATGAGGTGAATGGTGACAGAATTTGCTGAGAATAAATGAAGTCTGGGAGAAGTTTGTTAGGAAAGAGTAAAAATTAGGATGCACTGCTTATCTTTATTTTTAAAATATCTATAAGATATTCAAGTAAGCCATGAGGCAAGCTAGTTAGGTGCTCAAAAGAAAGAATATATCCAGCCCCTTCCTGTAAGTCAGTGCCATTCATGGGCCACAAGGAGCAGAGCCAGATGCTAGCCCCTGCGTGTGAGTTGGTGCCATTCACAGGCCATGGGGAGGAGAACAAGAAGCCAGCCCTTTCCTGTGCATTGGAGCCTCTCATGGGCCACAGGAAAGAGCTCGGGGCACCAGCCCCGCTGGCACGTTGACTGGGAGACAGGAAGAGCCATATCCTTCTCCCCCTGCCCGTAATGACCAGTCAATTTGGAGAAACAGGCCCGGATGATAGCTATTGAAGTAAAATACAACTCAATGCTTGTAGTGTTTAGTGTTTCATTGACTTTGCAGGCCTAAAGACAGTAGTTTGATCATCTGTTTAGAAGTTAACAATATGCAATATGGCCTCTATGGGGGAGCTTCCTCTGAAGGGGGAGCTATTGTTAATTCTCTGTCATCTCCTTTTGAAGTCCTATATCATTTTCATTGTTTGGTTTGGTTTTATTCTGTTTTGTCTTATTTGATTTTATTACATCTAATGGCATGGGTAGCTATTTCAAAAATAGAAGATATATTATGGTAGCCATTTTGTATTTACTATTACCTTGCCTTGAAGTCCTGTAGAGTTCATTGTTTCATTTTTATTGATTCTATTCTGTTCTGTTTTGTTTTATTTTTACTATATCTGATGGTATGGGCAGTTATTTTGAAGACAGCAAGAAGCATTAAAGTAACCATTGTTGATTTTCTATTATCTTGTTTTGAAATCCTGTATCACGTTGTTTTATAGGCTTTATTCTGCTCTATTTCACTTGCTTTCATTCTCTTTAAAATAAAAATTATATAAAAAAGAAAATATAAATCTGTGGGAGTTTTTAATGTTTATGTGTATATGTATTTGTTTATTTTTAAAGTAGGATTTTTTTTTGTCTTTTTCCTTTTTATTGGTACCAGGGATTGAACGCACGACTGCCTGCTTGCAAGGCAGGCGCTTATGCTGCTGAGGATCTTACTGAGTTGCCTAGGCTGATCTCAAACTCATGGGTTCCAGAGCCTATTGGGAAGCCGCAGCTCCCCAGGTGTCTGGCTACAGGTGCATGGCTGGCTTAGGCTCTACCACTAAGGGTCCCGTGAAACCACAACTACGGAGGGGCCAGATAGGGAGATTTTATGATGAAATACTAAGAAATAGCAGCATGTTGCCAAGCAATAGATTCCTTTCTTTTTAAAGTGACCTAAATTTATTTAGTTTATCTTAAATGCTACTACATACAAGCGGTGGTTAAAAATATGACGAATGTTTAAATTTTTAAATATTTTATTCTAGTGAAAGACACACTGTCACTAATCTTTGTCACAATACTGCCCTTCACTTTAAAAGTATTTGTTCCATTATCCTTGCCACTTTCTGAGGCAGTTCTGGAAGACTTTTGTGAATGCCTTTATGAGATGTAATTATAAAAATATCATGAATGTTGCCTCCAAGTGCCATCCAACAGGAAGGCAGGCTCATAAAACATTGTGGCAAGTTCTCATCCACCTTATTTACTGGCTCTGGTGTCGTGCAAATTCTGGCTCTTTTCCCAGAGTCAGAAAGACTGTTACGTAAATGTTTTGAAGCACTTCAGGACAGAGAGGCAGAGCACAACTAAAATCACTAAGGAAAGAGGACTTGCAGATCAGCTGTAGAAAGTAGCAAGAATGATGGGATAAATGCGTTCAATCCAGGAATATTTTTGACGAGGATTAATTAATGACAGTGTGCCTTTTACTGTAATAATTTTTCAAAAATTTGAACAACTTGTTTTCAATCACATATCATAGCTACAACACAAAATTCAAAAGGTAAAAAAAAATATACAATAAAAAGCAACATTCCTCCCATCTCTGTACTCAACATACAGCTCTTTTTTCTCACCAGCAATCAAGAAGATTCTTACGAATCCTTAAAGAAATAGCTTATGCTCACCATGCATGAACATTATTTTAAAAATAAAAATGGTAGCATACAAACTCACATTGTCCTGCTTTTTGATTTTTCACTCAATATAACATGGCAACAATTTCACATGAATATATATATTATATATATAATATCTTGTTTGTTCTTATTATTTTAATGTACATTTCAATGTAATATCAAAAGGTCAGTATTGGGCCTGATGACGCACACTGGTAATCCCATAACTAGGGAGGCTGAAGCAAAGAATCTGTCTCCAGGTGAAGGCTAACCTGGGGTACATAGTGAGTTCCAGGCTAGCCTGAACTACATAGCAATACCTTGTCTTAACGGGGTATTATCAAATAACGGGGTAGTATCAAAAGTCCAATTCAAAAGGCCTAAATACAATGAAGGAACATATTGACCCCTTTACACAACTGACAAGGCACTTTTAACATATATCTGCTAGATAAAATGCAGATTTAATAAAGTTCACTATTGAAAAAATAATGCAGACAATCTCATTACAGAAATGTCTTTCCGGAGTTTAGTTGTTAAATCAATGTTTATAATTCTTCAGTTTCTATCTGAAATGACACAAAATCTTTGGGTTTGCATAGTGCTCAATATGATTACTAACATATTTATAATCATTCATTAAAACTACATTGGTCAATCACATAATATAGCCCCAAAATAAATGATTAAACATATGAGCCGGTACGTTGCCTTAACATCTATTGTTCAGTTCTGTCAAGACTATCAGACGTTGATTCTTTTTGTTCTGGTTTTACTTTTACTTTTGATTTTTGCATAATGTTCTGGTTACCAGGCTGGGCTTAAACTAGAAATCTTCCTTCCTGAGCCTCCTGAGTGCAGAAGTTTATTCTTAGCAAATTAATCTGGAAAAATGCCTCTCATTTGAGTTTTGAGCCATGAGATGAACAATAGTAAAGTTTATAGTCTCACCAGAAAAATCAGTAACAGTGTTAAGCGCTATGTTCAGGGTTAAGAGCAATGCACGCTCCATTATTACATCGTACTGGAATTTTACATGTTTAACTCAAAATTTTAAAAACTTAGGTTTTCCCACCAGACAAGGCAAGCAGTTAAACAGAGGGGAAAATCAGGAAACCAACAGCAGGAAAATATTATAACAAAGATAAGCCAATATATGTCAGTTATAACCATCAACTTAAATGTCCTCAATTTACCAGTCAAAAGAAACAGACTAGCAGAATGGATCAAGAAAAAAGATCTAACAATATGCTGCACACAAGAAATATATTCAACTCAGAAAGAAACTCATAGACTGGAAGTCAAGGGATGAAAAACAATACTCCATGAAACAGGAACCATAAAAAAGCAGGGGTAACTATCTTCTTTGCAGACAATGTGAACTTCAAACCAAGAATAATCAAAAGA